GAAAACTACTGCGATCGCGGAATCTGTTCAACTTTCTGCTTTCTAAAATTTGCGTGTTCATGTGTATATGGAAAGTAGTACAAAGAGAGAAGTCACCACCCTTCAAACAAAATTTTCTAACATCTAATTGTCCCCATATTACAATATCAACTTACAGCAACTCCTTTGTTGAAGTTCTCTTCACCGATTATTGCTGCTATCATTCTGAGTACAGATCCTCCCTTATCGTAAGAGATAGGATCGAATGCTTCCTCAACCTCACTGGCCTTGTCTATTTTGAATGAAAGCGGATGACTTGAGACAGAATCCCGCATCAATCCTTTTGTAAGTGCATCGAGAATAAAGTATTCTTTCTAAAAACTCATGTAGTTTCTCTTTTCTATGTAGTCGCTGACTAAATATCGTATCATCATTTCATACCATCCTCATATTATTGTCGCTGATAACATCTGCTCCTAGAAACTCAACATAAGACGCAAAACCTTCGTTAAGCCACAAATCTTCCCACCATTTCATTGTCACAAGGTCCCCGAACCACTGAAATGTTAAAAGTTGACTATTAGAAAGCAATTAAAATGATTTTCAGCAGAGTCAAGGTGGAAGGCCGCAATGTAAAAGAATTTAAGTTCTAGTAAAGCGAAAATGGAAAAAAGCAGATGTTCTCTGGGGTACCTGATGAGCAAGTTCGTGCGCTACAACCAGAGCAACTCTCCGCTTTTCCGCTGGACCGTACAGTTTCTCATTATAAAGAAGGCGACCTTCCCTGAATGACAGAATGACTGTTAGCCTGCCTTTGTGATAAAACATCGAAATACCTGTATGTGATTAAACCCCAATTTTCCATGGCACCCGCATCAAAGTCTGGCAAAGCAACCATATCTGTAAGAAAATCAATACATGTTTGATTTAATTGAGCTCAAAGGAGACGAGTTTTCTAAAAGTGAGAGGATGTGTGAAAAATTGCTTTAGCCGAATTTAGTATCTTTATCTTTCTCACTTGTTTAAAATGAAGTTATTCAAACCTTGTTTTTTCATGGGAAACTTTTCCTTGAAGAGGTCTTCGTAATAATCTAAGCATTTGACTCCTGC